CCCCATGTCCAGGACTCCAGGAGCCTGTGGTCCTTCCACAGTCCTTCGCACCACAGCTCTCTCCCAGGGAGAAGCGGAACTTGAAAGGAGTTTCCTCTACGGTGCGATGCGCTCTGTGACTCACTGCTGCCTCCTTGTGGACACTGTCTTCAGCAGCGTCTCCGGACCTGGCCAGAACTTTACTATTGAGAATGAATAAACTCACAGTCTCCGAGACATGGGGATTCCTCAGACACTCAGAGCACAGCAGGCAAACAGATAAAGTCCAAGTTTACTTGCAGCCTTTAGCCACCCTTCCTGCTCCATTCCTTCACTGTGTGGTGGAGCCTTTCTTTGTACCTGAGAAACGCACCCCTAGGAGAGAGCCGGGTACAAGGACAAATTTTTCCGAGCACAACCCATTCCATGCACGGTGACCGCCGTTCACAGTAACGGTCCATTTCAGAACGCTTGGGGCTGGAGAGGTGACTCAACACATGCTGTTCTCACAAGGGTCTTGCGCTCCATTCCCAGCTTGCCAGCATTTGTAACTCCGGTTCCAGGCGGGTCTGATGCCTATGGCCCCTTCTGGCACCTGCATTCCTGTGCACATACCCCCCCCCATAATTAAAAATAAAACACGCCTCAAAAAATTCTTGCCACAAAGAATTCCAGGTGGCAGAGTTCCTAATTCCACCACGTGTATGGTACATCGCACTGCTCTTATAAATGTATCAGTTATTATTTGTCAGCTAAAAATAAGTCAGGATCAGAAACACATCTCAGCATGCCACCCCAGCCCACAAATTAAGGAAAATGCAATAAACATTTAAAAATAAAAATATTTTTAGTATTTCTGTGATTTCAACTATGCACATTGCCTACCAGGGAGGAATTTCTTCTTTAAGCATCGGCCTTGACTGTGGCTAATGCAGACAGTTCTCTGTCAGCAGCAGACCTCAGAGCACAGGGCAGGACATCTCTTCCAGGGAGGCGCTGTGTTTTGAGCACCTTTGTTGAGATCACACCTCACTTGGCTGCGATCCTCTCCGGCAACCTCTCCCTCCCAGCCTGCCACCTGCATACATGGGTCCGTGGATTTAATTTCAGGCATTCCCCAAAAAGCAACAGAAGGTGCTCTCAGGTCCTCCAGGCTGTCTGTCCCCCTCCCCACATGGACAATTGTCCTCCAGGATGTCTGTCTCCACCCCCAGGTGCACAATTGTCCTCCAGGCTGTCTATCTCCACCCCCCTAAGTGGACAATTGTCTTCCAGGCTATCTGTCCTTACTCCCCGCAGGTGGACAGCTGTCCTCCAGGCTGTCTGTCCCCACCCCCCTAGGTGTACAATTGTCCTCCAGGTTATCTGTTCCCACCCCCCTAGGTGTACAATTGTCCTCCAGGCTGTCTGTCCCCACCCTGAGGTGTGCAGTTGAGCATGGAGTCTGGGAGAGGATATCTGCATTCTTCTATCTAAGAGAAAGTCATTTATGCATTCATCAACTAGTTTTTCTTTAAGATGAAACTCAAGGTATACCAGATTGGATTGGACTATGGTTGGACTAGTTGAACTCTGGTATATTTATCATTCACCGATAAATGGTATCCATTCATTCTTTCTTTCAGTCCAATGCGGTAAGAGCATGGAAACCCTATGGAGCCAATACTTTCATTCCAATGCGGTAAGAGCATGGAAACCCTATGGAGAAGCCCAGAGCTTGGTGGTGACCTGTTTTAACCGTGTGCTGCTCTTGGAGTAATGGCCGTCTTGTTTCCATGTTCATAATTCCCTTTTTCCTTACACAGCTTTGCTCAATCTAATTGGTTTCCTAAAATGCCTTTTTTTAAAAAACTTTAGTTGCTTTTGAAAAATTGTTTTGTGATAAGGTCTCCCTATTTAGCTCTAATGGTCCTGGAACTTACTACATAGGCCATGCTGGGCTGGAACTCACAGAGATCCCCCTGCCCCTGCCTCCTGAGCGCTGGGATTAAAGGTGTGTGCCATCCACAAGCCGGCTAAAATGTTTTAATTTTATTTATGTGTTTCTGGGGAGGGGTGCAGGCCTGGCACATGTGAGTGCAAGTGCCCTCCGAGTCCAGAGGGTGGCATGTGATCTCCTGGAGCTGGAGTTACAGGAGTCCAGAGGGTGGCATGCGATCTCCTGGAGCTGGAGTTACAGGAGTCCAGAGGGTGGCATGTGATCTCCTGGAGCTGGAGTTACAGGCACTTGTGAGCTGCCTGATGAGGGGTGCTGGCAACCAAACTGTTTTCCAGAGCAGTAAGTACACACTCTTAATGGTCATTGTTAATAATTAATTTAAACAGGGTCTCACACTGTAGCCCAGGCTGGCCTCAAATCCATTGCAATTCTCTGGATTCCCGAGTGCGAAGATGCTCGGCCTCCTTGGTTTTTCGACTCAAGATCACTCTGGGAATTCTCTTATCCTAGCAAGTTGCTACTGTTAACTGCTCTGAGAGGTGCTTGTTAGTGTTGTGTCGAGTGAAGACGCCACAAGTGTTCATCCAGTCTCCTGTCCAAGGACACATGGCGGCTGCTGGTTTTATTTGTTGCAACTGTGAACTTCACACACATGCTTCCTGTTGCCCATGTGTGAGACATCCTTTTTGCTTCTGCATCTGAGAATCCTCTATTCAAAGCCAGCTGCAAGGGCTGCCACCATCTGGTAAGAATGAGGAACTGCATGCTGGGGAGGTGCTACTCTTACAGAAGACCCGGGTTCGGTTCCTAGTGCCTACGCTGGGTGGTTCATAACCGCCTGTAACTTCAGGATCCTGAACTCACACGTGTATACCATCCCCTCACATACATGTTTGCACACACATACTCTAAAAACACAGTAAACTGGACCTGGAGAAATGTTTGGTCAATTATGAGTGCTTACAACTCATGCAGAGCACCTGAGTTCAGTTCCCAGCATTTACACCAGGCAGCTCTCAACCACCTGCAGTTCCAGGAGATCCGATGCCATCTTCCGGCCTCTGCAGGCACCTGCATGCCTGGACTGCACATAAACTTAATGCAGACACATGCACACAAATAAAAATTGAAAAAAAGAGAAATAAAACTTTTTTAGAAATTAAAGGGTTGCAATAGCCCTCACCTTGTGGGACTGTGGTGAGTCAGGAGAAGAAACATGGAGCACATGGTGAGTGCTCAGCTTGACCATTCCTTCATTCTTATCATCAATCGGCAGATGCTATCACAATTGTGCTAGCCCATGCGTTGTATGTGCTACACTACAATGCTGTATTGGTGCTCTTACTAAAACGTGCAACTTACAGGAATTTGGGGACCAAGAATAACATGCCTCACTGGGGCATATGCTTGGGTAGGAATTGTTCTGAGCTGTTAGGACTTCCACGTGGATTAAATGAGATAAACCGGGGACTGGTGGGATGGCTCAGTGGGTAACGATGCTTACCTCTCAGACTTGGGTTGAATTCAGTCTCTGAGACTGCCAGGGCAGAAGTAGAAAACAGACTCCCACAAGTTGTCCTCTGATGTACACATGTGTACCTTTACATGCATGCTCCCAACGTGCGTGTATACACACACACACACACACACACACAGAGAAGCAAATAAATATACAAATAAATGTAATTTTTAAAACAAGATAGCCACATACCTTTCCTGAAGCCCGGCTCACAGTAGATGCCCAAGAAGTAGCCTGTGTGTGATTAGCCCAGGCACCATTTAAGTTCCTTTGCAGGCAGAGTATTCACTGGGTAGGGATGAAGAGAGGAATTAGTTCACATAGTGAATTTGTCTGAGAAGGTGTCTGTGCTGGCTAATTCTGTGTCAGCCTGACACAGGCTAGAGTTATTTGGGAAGAGGGAACTTTAATTGAAAAAGAAATGCCTTCACCAGATTGGACCTGTAGAGGATTTTCTTGATTACTGATTGATGGGTGGAACGTGGGTGGACCAATCCACTGAGACAGTGTCATCCCCGGGCCAGTGATCCTGGATGGTGTAAGGAAACTGGTTGAGCAAACCACAGGGAGCAAGCAGGTAAGCAGCATCCCCATGGCCTCTGCATCAGTGCCTCATGGAATGGAAGCCATGGTGACGGGAGGGTGAGGGAGCCATGGTGACAGGAACGTGAGGGAGCTGGTCAGCTGCTGCTCCAGGCTATACACCGGCTGTTTACGGCCACATTTCCTGCCATGATGGTTATTATCCCAAAGCAAACCCTTCCTTCTGTAGGCTGCCTTGGTCAGAGAGTTTCATCACACCTATAGGAAAGTAACCAATGCACTGAAGTTTGGGGTTGAGTCCAGCCTTCTCTAGCTGTGAGACTTTGGCCAGGTCACTGACCTCTGTGTCTTAGTGACCTCATGTATAGAATAGTCACATTATTAATGTGCAGGATTGTTTCAAGGGCAATGAGTGGTAATATTATATGTCTGTCCGAGTTGGCAGTCATTGTCAACTAGACACAGCCTAGAGTCATCCAATAGTGGCGTCTCAATTGAGGAGTTGCCTAGATCACACCGGCCTTTGGGGCTTCCTTGATTGCTAATTGCTGCAGAAGAGCATTGCCCGTTGTAGGCTACACATTTCCTGCTCAGAAAGTCCCAGGATGCATACGAGAGGTAGACATGTGTACAGGCTGCTTTTTTTAAAAAATATTTTATTCATTTATTATGTATACAATCTTCTGCCTGCATGCCAGCAGAGGGCATCAGAGCTCCTTCAAGGTGGTTATAAGCCACCATGTGGTTGCTGGGAATTGAACTCAAGATCTTTGGAAGAACAGTCAGTGCTCTTAACCACTGAGCATTCTCTCCAGCCCTACTGGCTGCTTTTATGTGGCGACTTGACACAAACTAGAGGAAGGAGCCTCAGCTGAGGAAATGCCCCACTAAGATCCAGCTGTTAGGCATTTTCTCAATTAGTGACCAATGGGGAGGCCCAGACCGTGGAGGGTGGGGCCATCCCTGGGCTGGTGGCCCTGGGTTCTATAAGAAAGCAGACTGAGCAAGCCATGAAGATCAGTAAGCAGCACCTCGTGGGCTCCGCACCAGCTCCTGCCTCCAGGCTCCTGCCCGGCCTGAGCTCCTGTCCTGACTTCCCTCAGTGACGAACTGTGATGCGGCAGTGTGAGCCTTTCCTTCCCAACTTCCTTTTGGGCCGTGATGTTTTTGTCAGAGCAACAGAAACCCTGCCTAAGACAATAAACTCGAGCCCGTGACTGAGCCAGGAAGCGGTGTTCCTCCGAGGTCCCTGCCTCAGGCTGCCGTCTTCTTGAGTTCTTGTTCTGCGTCACCCAGGGATGCATTGTAACATGAAACGGTGAGCCCACGAACCCTCCCCTCCCCTGAGTTCCTTTTGATCACGGCATTTGTCGCAACAGTGGAATGAAACCAGGACCATGACTTAGTGAAAAGGCTCAGAACAGTTCCCTGTACTGAGAAAGTGAAAGGTAGGTGTTAAATCCCTTTGATTTCCACCGTCACAGTCGTCACCGTCATCGTCACCGCTGTTATTGTCACCACCACCATACATTATCATCACCGTGAACATCACATCACAGATTCTGCTTATAAGCTTCCTTGGATGGTTGTTTAATGAATCGGTGCTTTGAAAGAAGAGTACAGCAGAATGGAGCAATGGGCTTTGCTCCCTGGTTACCTTGAGGGAAAACATGTTCTCAGTAAAATAAAAACAGGGACACCGCTGCCACTTGTCCACTATAATTTCATAGTAACAGAAGTGTGAGCAGGGCATGTGGTTTCGAATGTAAAGGGCCACATTTCTCAGCCTCCCTTTCAATGAGGCGTGGTCGCATAACTGAGTTCTGGTGGCCAGTGGGAATGGTGTCAGAAGTCAAAGCCACAAAGAGAGAGGAGCAAACCCCTCTCTCAACTTCCACCTGGATGGAATACGCAGGTGGCTATGGAAGCTAGTGCAGCCGCCATGCCTTGAGAGGTGAACTATGTACTGGAGGGATGGGGACATGTACAGGAGGGATGGGAACATGTACTGGAGGGGTGGGAACATGTACAGGAGGGGTGGGGACATGTACAGGAGGGATGGGGACATGTACAGGAGGGTACAGTCACGGGTGAAAAGAGGTCCATGGGGCTGCTGAGTTATTCACCCTGAATATTGGAGGAAAGAAAAACAATTTTATGTTTTCTTTTGTGCTTGGGATCAAACCCTCAACCTTGCACCTGGCTTCTCCTCTTGTAACACGCTACCTCTGGGGGACACCCCTCACCACAGTCTGGTTTTCAGTACCAGTGAATGCCCGCAGGGCCTGAAGTGCACCAGGCCAGTGTGCTACCATTGAGCTACACCCCCAGCTAAACTGATAATTCTTCTATCTCATACACGGCACAGTTAAATTATCTTTTAGTACTAAACAATATAATTGTTCTGTGTATGAAGACTGGACATTCTCCCAGGTGGTCTGAAAAACAAAGGAATAAGGAAGGATGAATGGAAAGCCCTGTGTTGATGCTATCAGGAGAAAAACACGGGGAAGAGCCAGGCATGGCGGTGCATGCCTGTAAACTCAGCCTTAGGGACAGAGAGACAGGAGGATCAAGAGTTCAAGGTTCAAGGCCAGTCAATATGTAGTGAGTCTGAGGCCAGCCTGAGCTGTGAGAGAGAGACCCGGTCTCAGACAAACAGTATATATCACATATGTGGACTATATTGCATGGTGCATATTTGTATTTTTAATTAGGTGTACGGTGCGTATACTTGTGCATCTTCACGTGGAGGTCAGAGGAGGACATCAGATTCCCTGAAGCAGGAGTCTGCCTGACATAAGAGCTGGTGTACTCCAACTCAGGTCCTCTGCAAGAGCAGGCTGTGCTGTTAACCGCAGAGCCATCCCTCTAGCTCAAGAACTCCCTACGTTTTTGCTCCAGGTGGCTCCGTTGTCTCCATGCAATTCTGACCATGGAAGGAAGAGGGACAGGAGCTACAGAAGAGAGATTGTTCTGGGGTCTTTCCTTGGCCTCCCCTGAGCTCCCCACTCCTGTGATCTCTGGGAAAGAATCAGAGAAGACACACAGTGTGTTTAACAATATAAAGTGCTGTGCTCCCTGGGGTGTGGGCAGATGAACGACAGAGGGACCATCACTTCAACCTACAACTTTTAGGTAGGCTTTGTACTATTTCTTAAAGTCCCTTGCATAGGCGGCTGTCTGAGGGGTGCTTTCCCAATCAGGTGACAGACATGACCATTGTGATGGACTCTTCTGGGAGGGGGCGTGGTATGTCTTTACCAGAAAGCCTCAGCTGTGTAGACATCTCATGGCCTTCCATGTAGTTTGAGATGCCAAATGCCCAGCTAGGACCAGAGATAGGACTCAGATCCCAACCAGTAACCAGAGGAGAGTTTTTGTTTTTCACTCCGACTTTACATGCTGCTGGTACCAAAGGAGGAGTTCCATCTTCAGTGACCTTCAAGCCTGCTAATATTTAACTAGTTATCTAACAGAGTGGAAGGGGAGTTGGGGGTGGACCAGAGGATAACAGGGGAAAAAAGGGAGAGATGGAGGCGAAAGACAGAACATAGTTACCTTCAAGTTAATGCTTCAAAGTGGAAGGTTTTTAATTCAGAGACAATGTTTCTTTACACCTGATATTTTAGAGTGGGAACAAATGGAAAGTCTTATTTCACCTGCTCTAAAAATTGAGCATGAATGTGCAGGGAGGGAAAAAATAGTGTCCTCTACAGGGTGATAAAGGACAGAGCCTGTGACAGTCAGGTGAGTTTCAATAACAGTCACATCCAAACATAACGGAGGTGAGGTCACCAGGCAGGGGATATAGCTGAATACAGGACAATTTAAAGACAAACTCAGTGGACAGGGCTTTGGTCCCATGCATTTCCATTTCCTGGGCCACAGGGCTGGACCATGGCTATATTATAGTGCTGTCCTATCAGCGTGACATCGTGACATCGTGACATCGTAGGCTGCCAGGTAATGAGTGGCTGGCTGTGAGACACACTAAATAAAGCCAGCCCAGAATAGTCTCCCTGAGTCTCGCACTGCCTGTTCCTCTAAGGTACCCCATCATTTCACGACCTCATTGCTACCCTGCAGTTTCCATGTTGTACGAGGCGCAGGGAAGGGGCAGTTGAGACTCCATGGGGCGGGACAGAGGGTAGTAAACTGCACTTTGTGGTTGTGTGGAATTGCTATTTGCTTCGAAATGAATGCTTGGACCTGAAAACAAAGCTGGCTTGAGCTTTGCTTCCCTCGGAGCTGGTGGGGCGGTGTGGAATGGAGGTGGGTGGCTGTGTATAGGAAGAGACCCTAGGTCTGTGGGCATGAGTTCCCTTGCTGCTCTTTCCCTAGGTCTGTGGGCATGAGTTCCCTTGCTGCTCTTTCCCTAGGTCTGTGGGCATGAGTTCCCTTGCTGCTCTTTCCCTAGGTCTGTGGGCATGAGTTCCCTTGCTGCTCTTTCCCTAGGTCTGTGGGCATGAGTTCCCTTGCTGCTCTTTCCCTAGGTCTGTGGGCATGAGTTCCCTTGCTGCTCTTTCCCTGCCCAATGGATTACTTATACTCGCATGGTCCCTCCATTCCGTGGACCACAGAGAGCTCATACAGAAAACAGGAAAGGGACCCAGGGAGATGGCTAAGTGCATAAAATACTTGCCTTGCAAATGTGAGGGTTGGAGTTTGAATCCCCAGCACCCACGTAAAACCAGAATAGGCGTGACAGCCCACTTGTAACCCCAGCACTAGAGAGGTAGAGGCAGGTGGATCTGGGGGAAGCTAGCTAGACTGGCTAAATCAACAAGCTTCAAGTTCATGGAGGGACCCTTAATCTCCTTTTCTGTTGCAGTGATAAAATACCTTGGCCAAAATGACTTAGGGGAGAGAGGGTTTACTCCAGCTCACAACTTCAGGTCTGTCACAGAAGCAGCTGCGTGAGGGAGTTGGCCGTACCACGTCCATCCTCAGTAAGAGATCACTGAGTGCATGCTTGCTTGTTCTCAACCAGATTTCTCCACTTTTCTGTGGTCTAGGATCGCCTGCCTAGAGAATGGTACTACACCTAGTGGACAAGCCCCTCCTCTCAATGAACATACTAGGATAATCTCCAATAGATATGTCCATAGGCCATCCGGATCTAGACAGTCTCTCAAGACACCCCCCGGCCCCCAGCGACTCTAGATTGTGTCAAATTGACAAAGGTGACTGTCACAGCTTGTCTCAGAAAATAAAGTGGCAAGTGACCAAGGAAGATACCTAGTGTCAACCTCTGGCCTCCGCACGTATACATGCACAGCATGTGTGACCCATGTGCAAATACCACATACATATACACATACATATACACATACATATACACATACATATACACATACATATACACATACATATACACATACACAAAAAGAGAATGGATTGTAGGGAGTGGAGGAACCCTGAGTGAGTGAAGTCCTTGTGTATAGTTGACATGGGCACGACCATGCCAAAGACTTGAATGCACAGACCCATGGGAAATTGGCAAAGCTGTTCCCTCTATGGGCCAGGCTCAAAGTTAGCAAAGCCTTCCTCTGTCCAAGTGTGAGTGTTTACAGATGATTGGGCAGTGTGTACAAAACTAGCAACTGCAGCTTCCTCGTCCTCCCAGATGTTTACGGCCCGAGATCGCCTGGCAAGACTGGGTAGCCCCTTACCCTGTGTTGCACGTGATGAACATTCTGAGGTTCTGGGTTCCACAGTAGTAGGTGTGACCACACCCCCACCTGACCTCAGCGTTCCCGAACGCGTGCCAGGGTCTGTCCTGCCTTCATCCCCTCACCCCTAGTCAGAGTTCCAGGACTCATGCCAAGAGTGTCACAGTAGCAGAAGAGAGTGTGACCTTGAGCCAGATGAGGTGAATCGCAACAAGAAGAATTGGCTGTTATTAGTAGGAGCTGTTTCTTGCCTTTGCATATTTGTAGACACATGGGCCTTTGACAAGGCTTGACTGACTGCACGGGGGGTGGGCTGCACCCACCCTTAGTGTCACGGTTCTGCAGTGGGGGGAAATGTCCCCTGTCCCTCCTGCTTCGCCTGCCTCTCACCACCTGCAACCCTTCCCGTGGTTGCATTTACCTGGCCTCCACTCCACCCCTCCACTAAAACGCCTTTGAAAAGATCCTCCGCGGTTCACACGGCCGACCCTGGGGTCTCCTTTGCATATCTCCGGGGCCTCCTCCCTCAGGCTCTAGACTGCTCGGCTCCTGTGGTTCTGAATGTCTGGTTCCGGCCTTGCCCCCCCCACTTCCTCTTTCCTTATAGGGTGCCTCATTTTCATTCTTTACATTTTATTTTTCCCCAGAATTTTGCCTTCTCTCCCCCTATTTTCTTTCCACATGTTCACTGGTTGGTTTCAGCCACTCTCAACTACTCCCCTCCACCCCCCATCCCCCAATACTTAGGATCAGCCACTGCTTTTAGCGACAAGGCTCTCCTGGGATGATTGATTGTCAAACCGATTTCAGTTCTCAGCATTTCATTTTTCTTTGAATTGAGACTCAGGAAGGGAGGGCGCTCTCAGAAACACAGAAATCTGGGCCGTGTCAAGTGGTTATATTTTTATCCCTTGGAGGAGGCTGTGTGGAGTGGGGGAGAGAACAGGACAGGACACAAGTCAGAGAGGCCCTGGGATAGGCTGGAGGGGTGGCTCAGCCCTTAGAGGCTAGGCTCACAACCAAAAATATGAGAGGCCCTGGGGGGCAGGGCAGTCTACTGATTGGCTCCCATTGTCTCCAAGCTTCAGCTGTATCCTTCGATGGTCTTTGATGAAGGATGGGTGACAACCCAGCATTCTTCCAACGCGTGTCCCCATTTCCTTACGTGTGTTCTAGGTGGGTTTATGATGCCTGCAAACAAAACAGTCCTGGCCATGATGGGCTCTAAGGGGACAGATGTCCCATCCAGGCTTCTGTCATAAGCCGCTGGACAAGGGTGCTAGGGACCAAGCTGGGATCCTTGTAGGGCAGTATCCACTCTTAACTGCTGAGCCATCTCTCCAACCTCCACAGGTGAAATTTTTTTCTTTTCTTTTTTGTTGGGAGTGGTGATGTTTCAAGATAGGGCCTCACTATGTAGCTCCGGCTGTCCTGAAACTCATTCTGTAGACCAGGGTGGTCTCAAACTCACAGGGCTGCATGTGAAGATTTTTACCTGCATGATTTATTTGAAACTTTTTAGCAGGCACCTATACCTATAACCTGAATATCCACTTGAGGGAACGGACTTCCTGGGGAACAGCGGTGGCAGCTGACCATAGGCTGAAGCCAGACTCCGAGCCCTCATTTATAAAAAGCATCCCCCCTCTTCTCCTCCTCCTTCTCTTCCTCCTCTGTTTCTGAGACAGGCTGAGCATGAGTACAGCTAATAACCAGGAAACAATCTAGAAAATAAGAGCTAAAAGACGTTAGTGCCCACCCGGCAGAGAGTGGCAGTCTATTGCTTAGGTAACGCAGACAGCAATAGAATACAAAACACATAGCACGCCTCACCCAGGTGAACTGTGTCAGAAATCCTTCTTGTGACTTATTCTGACTTTGCTAAACAATGTTCAGAACGAGCATTCCTTCTTTCTCCCCCTGAAATCCAGATGCTAACATACAGTTTCCCCATCCCCTTATCCATCAACATTGATCCTAAATCCATTCATATTCTCTCTCTCTCTCTCTCTCTCTCTCTCTCTCTCTCTCTCTCTCTCTCTCTCTCTCTCTCTCTCTCTCTCTCTCCTCTATTTCTCTCTCTAAGTGGAGAGCCTGTTTTCCAAGTAGAAGTAGGAATTGCTACTTCTACCTAAAATACACGAAATGAAGGGGCTGATAAAACACACCCTGTGTGTCTGGCAGGGCAGTATCTGCTGATTAACTGTGATTGATGGCGGTGTCTCACAGGGCTGAAAGCAGGAAGCATCTCTGGAGATTAGAGAGAAAGAAAAAAGTGAGCAATTTTGTAAATAAGAATGTTCTAGAAGGTTTTTGTACAGCCCAACCAATCATGGAGGGTCTGGTGGATTCCCAACACATACTGAGTCTTTCTGTCTCTGCCATGTCTTCCTACCGGAGCGCTGTATCCGGAGGATGAGGCATGGATGGTTCTCCCTGCTGTGAGGAAGGCTTGGGACATGCTCGGTAGACAAAGCTCTACTGTGTGTCTAGTTTACTTTCCCCTTGCTGTGATACACACCATGACTGAAACCAACTGGATGAGGACAGGCTTTATTTCTGTTTACACTTCCAGGTCGCAGGACATCACTGAGGGCAGCCAGAGTAGGAACTGAAGCAGAAACCATGGGAGAATGCTGCTTAAGGCTCCACCAGCTTCTTGTATAGTTCAGGACCCTCTGCCCAGAGGTGGACCATCTTCCATCAATCAACAATCATAACAATCCCTCACAGACACGGCTGCAAGCCAGTCTGCTCTGGGCAGTCCCTCAACTGCGAATCTTCTTCTGCCGTGCCTCTTAGTTGTGTCAAGTCGGCAGTAAAAACTAACCAGGAGGCAGAGGCGAGCCTGGCCTACACAGTGAGGTCCAGGCTATCCAACGCTATGTAATGAGACCCTTTCTCAAAAAACAAAACAAAACAAAAACCTAATTAGACACTGTGCAAGCATGAGGACCAAAGTTTGGATTCCCTAGGAGCCACATACATATACCTGGCTATCCTGCAACCCCCGTGCTTAGGAGGTAAGACACAGGATTCCTGGGGAGAGCTGGCTAGAGGGACTCCCTGACTCATAGAGCTCCAGGTTCAGGGAGAGACTCTGTCTCAGGAAATAAAGTGGAGAACCATGGAGGAAGACACTGGGCATCAGCCTGTGGCCTTCACACATATGTACATACACTGCCTACCTACAGGCATTCATACCATTTAAACAGAGAGAGAGAGAGAAGAGAGGAAGAAGAGGAAGAGGAAGAGGAAGAGAAAGAAGAAGAAGAAGAAGAAGAAGAAGAAGGAGAAGAAGAAGAAGAAGAAGAAGAAGAAGAAGAAGAAGAAGAAGAAGAAGAAGAAGAAGAAGAAGAAGAAGAAGAAGAAGAAGAAGAAGAAGAAGAAGAAGAAGAAGAAGAAGAAGAAGAAGAAGACCAATGATGAGAACTCTGCATGACTGGCTTAACAGTTTTTAACCAGAGAGAAAACTAGAATTGGGGAGGGCATGCATGCATGTGTGTGTATGTGTTATGTATTGTGAGAAACGGGTTAGTGGAAAAAAAAGAAAGGAAAGGACTCAGCTCCCTTGTGAGGAACAGTGAGAGCAAACCCTTGCTGGTCTGAGAGATTAGCAGGTTTCTGGCAGCCTGGACCTGTTTCACGGCCCTGCTTTTGTGTGTGTGTGGGGGGAGGGGGATGGGCAGCTCCTTTATGTGCGGCCACGTCTTTCCCAAGGATCGTGACACACATGCTCAGGCCACCTCTGAAGCATCTACGTGCTTCTTGTGTGTTCTTTTCATGTAAGATTTACATAGTGTAAATTTGCTGTCTTACCCATTAGAAACCTTATTATTATTGAGTGTGTACACGATATGGAGGTGGGGTGCATCAGTGGTTTGCACAGAGAGGTCAGAGTCGGTTGTCTCCTATCTTTACATGGGTTCCGGGACTTGAACTTGGGTCTGCAGCTTTTGAAGCAAGTGCCTTTACATACACACTGAGCTATCTCACCAGCCCTTAGCACTATACTTCCATACTCTATTTACACACACACACACACACACACACACACACACATATATATATATATATTTACTTTGGGACAAGGTTTCACAACTGTAACCCAAGATGGCCTGAAATGCACTCCTGCCTCCTCCACCTTCCCAGTGTTGGGATTTCACTTGTGAGCCCAGCTCTCAGCTCTATTGGTTAAGGGAACTGTGTATGCACGTGCATGCGTGTGTGTGTGTGTGCGTGTGTGTGTGCGTGTGTGCGTGTGTGTGTGTGTGTGTGTGCGCGCGCGCATGCGCATGTGTGTGGAGGCCAGAAGACATCCATGGATATGGTTTCTTGGGCGCTGTCCACCTTGGTGTTTTGAGATGGGGTCTCTCACTGGGACTTGGAGCTCACCGATTAGGCTAGGCTTGCTGGTCACGTAGCCCCAGGGATCCTCCTGTCTCTGCCTCTTTGAAGCTGGGATTCCAAGTGTGTGCCACCATGCCTGGCTTTTTATGTGACTGCTGAGGATCAAATTCAGGACCACATGCTCCCACAGCAAACACTTTACCAGAGGTGCCGTCTCTCCAGCCACAGAAATTGTCGCTTCCCTATCTAATCGTCTTGTGTCTTGGTTGGCAATCAACTAGACATGCCTGAATCTAATCCTGGGTGTTATACGGTTCCGTTGATCATTGTGTAACTTTGCATATCGGTTTGGTGGAACCTGAGATAATTAACATGCTGTGCTCTCCTCTCTAGCGATTCTAAACTGTCCCAAGTTGCTCTGTGGCCGGGGCTTATCGTTGGTTTATACCTTTCTGCTCGACTAAGCCCACCCCACTCCATCTCTCTTCACCGCATGAGGCCACACCGAAACTTCTGTGGGAGTGAAACTGCATGCTGGGCCTGCAGGGGTTGCACAATGAGGTGTTGGCCAGTTCCTGACAGTGATTGCAGTGTGACTCATTGAGATTCCCAAATGCCAAACCATTTTCTGTTGTTCTGCTGACCGATAACCAGTGGACTGTGAGTGGGACAGCCCCGAATTTGGGGTCGCTTACAGAAAGGTTAGGGTGCGAGTGTTGGCTTGTCAACCCTCGTGGTCCTCCCACAGCCACAGATGCTGGGAACAAATTGACTGCAGGTGCGGGGTTGGGAAGGGGAGTGGCCGGCGCTGGACTCTCACCGTGTGGAGGAATGTTGGCTCTCATTTCCATGTGATCAGTTGTTCTTGCTGAGGATTCCCCTGTGCAAAGGGGGGATAGTAATCAGCCCTTTTTTCAAGGTGACTGTGGGCAGTCTCTCAGAAAACAGGGTCCTTCTTATCATTAAATTGACCGTCGTTGTCACTGTTATTTGAGATTGGAGACAAGGTCTTTCTATGCAGCCTAACTGGTCTGGAACTTAATACATAGACCAGGCTGGCCTCAAATTCACAGAGATCCACCTGCCTCTGCTTCCCAAGTGATGGGATCAAAGGTGTGTGTATATCACCACTCCCCAGTTTATTGTCATTTGGACACAGGGTCTTGTTGTTATCTCAGGCTGGCCTTAATCCAAGATCTCCCTCCCTGCCTCAGTTTCCCCAGTGCTGGAATTACAGGCATGAGCCATGACACCTGGCTGTGCATATATTTGTGTGTATCTGTGTCTGTTGTGTTTGCGTGTGCTGAATTCTCATGTGCCTTCTGTCTTTGCATGTATACTACATGCACCTGTGGTTTAAAATAACTTATTCCTTTTATCTGTTTATGTAACAGGGGGAGTATATATGTCACTGCGCGTGTAGGGCAGAGCACAACTTTCAAGGTTCGGCTTTCTCCTTCCGCCATGTGGGTCCTGGGGATCTAACTTGGGTCCTCAGTCTTGGTGACAGGCATCTTTACCCACTGAGTCGTTTGGACACCCCATGTGTTTGTATCTCTTATCCGTGTGTGTGCTGAGTTTCTGTAGCCTGTGGTCTGTGTTAGTTACTTTTCTCATTGTCGTGGCACAGTGTCTGACAGAAGCAACGTAAGAATGGAGGGAAAGGTTTGTTTTGGGCTCGCAGTTTGAGAGGATTCAGTCCACCACGGCAGGAAGCGTGGATGGAGGGCAGGGAAGTAGAGCGAGACAAGGCTGGGGTTCAGCTCACTGTCTCCTTTATTTTGTCTGGGACCCGGGCTCTTGGGGTGGTGTTGGCCACAGCCGAGGTAGATCTTCCCTCTTTAGTTAAATTGCTGGGAATACTCTCACAGACACAGCTAAAGGTGTGTCTCCTAGGTGATTCTGAATCCCATTGGCAATGGAGATGGACAACCACATTGGGTGCAGATGTGGCCGTGTCTTGGGCATCTGTTGCACACATTCATGTCATGTCTGTCATGTTTTGTTGAACGGGGATATCACAGGCGTGTGTGTGTGTGTGTGTGTGTGTGTGTGTGTGTGTGTGTGTGTGAATATGTTCTGGTTTTGGCTCTGCGTGTGTTGGTGTGTTGGGTCTGTGTGTCTGTCCACTTGGTGGGCATGTGTTATACACTACCTTGAATGTGCGGGTTTGAGTGTGGATGTTCACTGGTGTAGTGCAAGGTGGGTTGCAGGAAGGTGGGCTCGGGGGCTGGAGACCAGAGCCTTGGGTGTTCTGGAGACTGGACCTCTCGGCCTCAGCTCATGCAGAAACCAGAGGGTCAGGAAGTGTCCAGCCGTTTCAGCTTTGCCAGCTTTTGATGGACTCCTCTGGGGCAAGTCAGGCAGTGGTGACAGGGACGGGCTTATCAACGATGGCTTGGTAGAAGTGAAGGCTGGAAAGGACCCGGAGGCAACGCCATCTGGAAGTTTTCTCCTGGTGGAGCAGGTCATAGGGCATCAACGACACAGGAGCGTCTTAGGCGTCAGGCTACGTGATGTGATGATCTCGAGTCAGACCAGGTCCCTGACTGGGAACATGCGTGCTGTATGAAAAAGGCCTGCTACATGCAAGTCCCCATCGGGCTGGGGGCTGCCGTGCCCATCTTTGTAGCATTTCACACGTGGTGCTGAGCCTCCCTTAATATCTACTCCGCAGACAACGATTAATCAGTGGCCGAGTGGGGCACGCTCTAAAGGCCTACGCGCTGTGTGCATTTCTGTGTCGCCTCTTGCTGTAGAGCTCAAAGTCCAGCCTCAAGTTACTTCATCGACAAAGTGAGAGGGATATAAAAAGACACACTAACTCTTCTGACGTGCCCCACTCCATTGGCCTTCACCGAGCTGTCAATGAACTCTGGCAGCAGAAGAAAGCTTTCTTGGCCAAAGAACCCCAGTGAGACCTTTATTGGAGAAATTTACAGAAAACAGCCCCAAAATAGATTTCAGATGGAGAAGTTAAATAAAAATCCAGGAAAGCTAAAAATGAAATAAATAAGAGCTTGAAAGTGATAGTTTTTGAAGTCATTCTATCCCGGGGCTTGTTTGTGTTGAGCAAATGGTCCATAGGGTTCCTGGAAGAGAGCGTCAGATGTCAAAGGCATGGATGGGGCTTGGAGAAGGTTGACACGCTGTGGTCTGCAGTGTCCTCTGGAGAACTGGCGTAGACCGGGTGACTGCGTGGTCGGCCTTGGTGTAGATGTCTTTGACATGGAGGGGTCTCTGGCTTGAGAGTTCACCTTCAGCATCCTCACATGGGAGATCCTTTTTTATTTAATTTAAAGAAATATATATATATATATTTTATGTAAACAGCATTCTGTCTGCATGTATGCCTGCAGGCCAGAAGAGGGCACCAGATCTCACTACAGATGGTTGCTGGGAATTGAATTCAGGGCCTCTGAAAGAGCAGCCAATACTCTTAACCCCTGAGCCATCTCTGCAGCCCAGCAGGAGATCTTATTGATGGCTCTACTTCAGGCCAGCCATTCCAGCTGGTGTTGCCTGGAGTGGGGATGAGGTCACTGGGGCCACGGAGAGAAAGGAGAGCAAAGAGCAAGTCACTTCCCTGCAGTCCTCGTGTCCCTCCATAGGGTGAGCCGTGTCTGCCTCCCCTGTCGTTGTCCCCCCCCCCCCGCCCCCGCTGCCATTTGTAATGTTTCTGAAGTGCCCCTGCTCGGCCTGCTCTGTGTGGTGAACCCCACCCCATGAGGCTGTGAAGCCCTGCTTCAGCCCCTGTTAAGCTCTTGTTAGAGAGGTAAGGCTTCCTGCTGTCATTAGTTCCGTTTTTGTTGTTGTTGTTTTGTTTTTCTGTCTCTTGCTTATTGAGTTTGCCTCGACTATACATCCAAGTGTGCTGTCTGACTGCTTCCAGGATGCTCACTGACACCTACATTTCTCTCCACTGCTGTGTCCATGGTGGAGAGAATATATTCATTAACAGGGTGTGCAGTTAGCGATGATGTGTGTCACACAGGCCGTGTGGGCAATATCTTGTCAAGATTTGCTTGTGTGGAGGTAGAGAGATGGCCAGTGGTTAAGAGCACATACTGCTGCTGCAGGGGACCTGAGTTCAGTTCCCAGTAGCCATGTTGGGTGGCTCACAACTGCCTGAAACCCAATTCTGGGGGGATCAACGCCCTCTTCTGGCCAATGCAGGAACTGCACACACACACACACACACACACACACACACACACTTTTTAAAAAGAGAAAGAAATTGCAGTTGAGTGCCAAATTTGCAGGGCTGACTGCAGATAATTCTGTTTGCCCCATGCATTGAGCACTCTTTCCAACGAAAGTAGGCCTTGTCTGTTTGGGGAAGTTGTGGGCTACTCTTTAAAAACTGGGAGGCCTGTGTGAATTACTACGAGATTCAAAGCCACAACGTTTCTGTTGTTTTCCTGCTTCTAGTTCTTCTTTTTCGGGAAGCTGGAATTTTCACTCCTGACATGAGGAAGAAACAAAAACCCCAGCGCAGAGGAGAAAAATCAGAGCACCTCCATGCAGCTGGCAGGAGCCCTTAGCCCCAGCCCCCCAGTTTTCACAGAGGAGGCAGAGAGGCAGGGCGGTGCTCTGGTGCTGGGTTAGTGGGGGAAGACCGTCCTGGTGGGATGGGGAGAGAGAAAGAGAGAGAGAGAGAGAGAGAGAGAGAGAGAGAGAGAGAGAGAGAGAGAGAAGCAGCAGCAGCAAGCTCCTTTGCCCACTCGGCCATCTCACTGGCCCTAAGTGCCTGTTTGGGAGACTCTCTTGTGGGTTCTAACTCTCCCAAGACACCTCAGTGATGCCGCGAGTCCCCGCCCTGGCTGTTCTGTGGCTGCGGTGACCCTTAGAGGATCCTAGCTTGCAGCAGGGAGCTCAGTTGTTGCCCTTGTCTGGCAGGAGCTTAAGCTGTTGGCTTTTCCCCCCATTGAACCTCTTTAGATCCCCCCTTCCTGCCCCTGCTACAGCCCAAGGCCGGGTCCCCGCTGGCCTGCACTGGACCTTGTTCATAGCCTTCCCCTCCCCCTTCCCCTTCCAACTCCTGACTTTGACTCACTGCAGATGAAAACGTTGGGTCTGCAATTTGTAGAGAATTCCCATATTTGGAGCCTCTGGGGGAAGCTCTTACGTACCCAACCTGCTGATGCCTATGGATTTGGGGTCCAGTGAGATGACATCACATTAGGCTTATTTTGCCGGCTTTAAATCATATGTGCCTTTGCCATCTCCCATTCCATTTATTGTTATTTACTGATTTTTTTTTCTTTTTGGAGGCAGGGTTTTGCCTTGTTGGCCCCTAACTCACTTCCGTAGCCCAGGCTAACCCTGAAATTTACAGCAATCTTCTTGTCTCCACCTTGGGAATGCTGGGACTGACTCAGGCACGTGCTACCATACCAAGCTTCCATTTTGGCTTCAGGTTTTTGCTTTAAAACTGCTTGGTTAGCCACTAAGGAAACACAAATCAAAACAACTCAGATACCTGTGAGAATGGCTAAAATAAAAAACACCAACCTAGATGCCCCTCAACTGAAGAATGAATAGAGAAAATATGGTACATTTACACAATGGAGTACTATTCAGCAGAAGAAAAAACAACAATGGAATCTTGAAATTTGCAGGCAAATTGGCAGCACTAGAAGAAACCATCCTGAGTGAGGTAATCCAGTCACAAAAAGACAAACATTGTATGTACTCACTCATATATGGATTTTAGACATGGATCAGGGGAATGCCAGCATACAATCCCAGTGCCAGAGAGTCTGGGAAACAGGAAAGAACATAAGAGAGATATGCATGGTACCCCAGAGAAGGGGAATGAAGCAAGATCTCCTGAGAAGATTAGGGGGGGAGGAGTGGGAACTGGGAAAAAGAAAGGGGGAGAAGAGGAAGAGAGAGGAGGTCATGGGGGAGCAAGAAGGTTAAGTTGGGGGAAGAATAGGGGGAGAGCAGGATGAGAAATACCACAATAGAATGAATCATTATAGGCTTAAGGAGAGATCTGGTACCAGTGAGATTTCCAGAGATCTACAAGGTTGATATCAACTGGCAAACTAAGTAATAGTGGAGAGACTACCTTAAATGCCCATCCCTGACAATGAGTTTGACGACTACCTTATATGCCATCCTAGAACCTTTATCCAGTGGCTGATGGAAGCAGAGACAGATACCCACAGCTAAACATGGAACTGAACCCATGGAACCCAGTGACAGAGAGGGAGGAGTGATAAGCAAAGGGGTAAAGAATGAGCTGGCGAAACCAACAGAAACTGCCGACTTGAACAAGGGGGAGCTCTTGGACCCCAGACTGACAGCTGGGAGGCCAGCATGGGACTGATCCAGAACCCCCCGAATGTGAGTGTCAGTGAGGAGGCTTGGACAACCTATGGGGCCTTGGGGAGTAGATCAGTATTTATTCCTGTCATACAAATGAAATTTGTGTGTCCATAGCACAAAGAGGGATGATCTCTGAGCTTGGACTCTCAGAGGACAGCCTAGGACCCTACCCTGAATGAAATGACAGACTCTAGATATCCCCTATGGGAAAGGGAATGGGGATAGGGTGGGAGGCTGGGGGGGGGGTGCAGGAGGAGGGGAGGGAGAGGGAACTGGGATTGACATGTGAAGCAAGCTTGTTTCTAATTTTTAAAAAATGTAATAAATAATAATAATAAAACAAAACAAAAACCTGCTTGGTTTTGTTTCCAAAAATTTTTTTTGGTTTTTACGAGACAGAGTTTCTCTGTATTGTTTTGGAGACTGTCGGTCCAGCCCAGCCTCGAACTCACAGAGATCCACCTGCCTCTGCCTCCCGAGTGCTGGGATTAAAGGCATGCGCCACCACCGCCCGGCTTGTTTCCAAAATTTTAATTTATTCTTTGAGAATTTCACACATTTATGTGATATGTTTTGTTTAGATAAACAACTCTAGAGATCAGATTAGGTAAGGAAAAGCATACAGCTACACAAATACATACACATAAACACACAGACAGACACATAGAGACACCGAGACATACATACACACAGACACAGACACACACACACACAAAACTAAACAGCCAAATGGAAAGAGTTGGAGACTGGTTTGATCTTATTCATTTGTTTGTTTTTAAACATTTATTTGCTTTTATTCATGTATATGAACATTTTGCCTGCAGGTATATGTACATGCACAGTATTCATGCCTGGTACCCGTAGAGGCCAGAAGAAGGTGTTGAATCCCATAAAACTGGAGTTAAAGACAATCATGAGTTTCCATATAGTGCTGAGAACTGAACCCTTGTCTTCTGGAAGAGAAACAAGTGATCTTAACCAATGAGCCATCTCTGCAGTCCCTGGTTAGACCTTCTTGGTGGGGAGACCTGAAATCTCCCCTTGTTAGCATTCATATATATATATATATATATACATATATATGCATATGTGTGTGTGTGTGTGCTCACAACTGTCTATAACCCTATGTCCAGGGGATCTTTTGTCCTCTTCTGGCCCCTCTTGGCACCACGCATGCGTGTAGTGCACAGACATACATTCAGGTAAACACACACACACATACACACACACATGCACACACATACACACATGCATGCACACACACACAGACACACGCACCCCAAACTAAAAATTAAAAAACTCTTTAAAACGCATCATCATTATTTTTCTGGAAGAGGGAACTTGTCTAGACTCCAGTAAATAGCCTCCCACCCCATGCTCGTGCGGGCATTCATGATTGAACTCAGTGCCTGCACAAAACACAAACAAACAAACCCCATGAATATAGGAGGGGGCTTGTCAAGAAGAATGAAAGGATTTAGTGGGAGTAGAAGTTGGGCAAGAGTAATGCAAGTGAAAATAAAATACACTGTGTACACCTGAGATTGAAAAAGAGTAACAGATAAGCAAAGGCAACAACAAAAGAGTTGCCATGATTATTCTGCCTCATAGATGAAGAAACTGGAGGGAAGAATGATCCCACAACATGATCAAGGGCATGCTGTCAGTCCATGGCAGAAATGGGGAGCGGGGGCTGGCTCAGGGGGTAAAGGTGCTTGCTGCCAAACGTGATGACCTGAGTTTGGTCCCAAGCACGACGTGGTAGAAGGAGAGAACCAACTCCCTCACGTTGTCCTCTGATCTCCATGCATGCACTGTGGCGTGTGTGCACACAGTGGATAAATAAAAAAAGATAAATAAAGTTACAAAGCGATGGAGACAGGATTTAAGCTGGCATGACTCTGGCATCTATGCCTTGAGTGTCGACCTTGATTCTGAATTAGGTGAACACTTGGTAACTTAAGTAGTGCTTGCTCACAGGAAGTCAGAACATCAAGTCTGGAGGGATAGTGATTTGCTGGATTAAAGGAGGAGGCCTGGAGTCAACTGCAGAGGTAATTGTTGAAAGAGACAGAGTGCTCATCTCTGCTCTTTGAGTGGGGGCTCTTATGACTTTACAGCGAAGGGAAGCTATGGAGATCAAGGAAGTGTACTGACTTAGAAACGGGGTGTGAGAAGCAGGGATTCCCTGAGCTGGGGTTGTCACACACAGCAATTGGCTTTCCCGAGGGTTCGCTGTGAAACCCTGCTCTCATTAAAGGCAGGCTCCTGCGGTGGGTCTGTCCACTCTCTGAAGGGGCCCTTGCTCATCTTCCTCTTTTGTTAAATTGGGAAGTGGCTTAGACTAAGAAGGAAGTAGTGAGAGAAAAAACACAGACAGAGCTTGAGCAAGGAGTGGGTGCCAGTGGTCACCTGGCTCTTCCTGGAGACAGCACCCATCGAGGCAGGAGCATGCGGCTGTGCCCAGCTCTGCTCCTTCTCTGCCTGCGAGGTGAGTGGGGCTATGGATCTGTGAATCTGATCTTGCAGAGGGTGGCAGAATAGGAGTCCTGGGTTCAAGCCAGAATCGAGGTGTCAGCAGAAGAGGCAGGGGACACGTCTATTTACCCATCTCTTTTTCTGTCTATATACTCCAAAATTCATCCATGGACTCTACAAACACGTATTAAGTAGCAACTGCATGCCTGGATTGTTCTGGCTGTTGTAACTATAAGCAAGTTCCTCAATCAAGGGATGAGACAGTCAAGTAGTTTTACTACAGCGTGGGACCCTCTGCAACACACAGCGTTCATGTAGAAACAGGCTATGCCAGGGACCCCCAGCTTTTCTCTCAGAAGCATGGAGGCTTCTTCAAGGCTTCACAGAAGTCAGTCTTGAAGGACGAACAGCCTTTCGGACAGAAAAGCAATGATTTATATTAAGTGGAGATCGTGGAAAGGGTAGATGTAGCAATGGCTTTGTCTTAGTGACATTTAGTTCAGAGAGGTTGGAAAGGTGTGTGAGAAATAACGCACAGACAGGTGTAATGGTGTGCACCTGTAGTCACAGCACCCAGGAGGCTGAGGCAGGAGGCTTGCAGGGTTGTAGGGTTGCCTTGGTACATAGTGAGATCTTGCCTTTAAAAAAATCTTAAAAAGATATTTAGGCCAAGCATGGTGTTACATGCCTTTAATCCCAGTACTTGGGAAGTAAGGGCAGAGTGGATTTTGGTGAGTGAAAGACTAGACTTGTCTACAAAGGGAGACTCCTGTCTTAAAAAACCAAATAAAAAAAAAAGAAAGAAATACATTCTCTTGTGGGAAATAGTTGAGGATGAAAATTAGAGACTATTTCTCATCCTTGCAGATAAGTTTTATGTTTGTTTGTTTTTTTTTAATGGATCCTCACAGTATGCAGAATTTAAAGGTTAGGACTTAAAGGGAGACCAGTTGAGGGACTCTGATCACATGTAGTTAGCTTTGCTTTTTTTAAAAACTATGTGTGTGCCTGTGTGTGTGGTTGTGGGTGGGAATGTGAGGGCAGAGGCTAGTCTTGTAGAGTCAGTTCTCGTCTTCTCCTTTATGGGGATTCTTGGGACCTAACTATGATGGCCAGGTTTGCACAGCAAAGCGCTGAGACATCTTGAAGACCGCAAAACATAGTTTCCTCATGAGTGAAGTGAGAGGAGACTGGATGATCTCCAGGATCCCTCAATACCTTCACATCTAGATCATTCACCAGGGGTTGTGGCACACACCTGCAATCTCAGTGCTTGGGAGGCAGAGGCAGGAGGACCAAAGGCTTAAGGACATCCTTAACTACATAGTTAGTTCGAGGCCAGCTTTGGCTACATGAGGACCTGGTTTAAAACAACAAAACAAGGTCTAGATCTTTAGGCTAAGTAAGACAATAAGATGCATAGTATCACATGTATGAGGGGCTAAAGTGACCTGAGTGAATGCTATGATCATGATGGTGGTGGTGATGGCAGTGGTGATAGTGGTTGTTGTTGTTGTTGATGGTGGTGATAACAGTGGTGATGGTGGTGGTGATGGTGATGGTGATGGTGATGATGGTGATGGTGATGGTGATGATGGTGATGATGGTGTGATGATGATGATGGTGATGATGGTGGTGGTGATGGTGATGATGATGATGGTGATGATGGTGTGATGATGGTGATGATGGTGGTGGTGGTGGTGATGGTGGTGGTGGTGGTGATGATGGTGGTGGTGATGGTGGTGGTGGTGGTGGTGATGATGGTGGTGGTGATGGTGATGATGATGATGGTGATGATGGTGGTGGTGATGATGGTGGTGGTGGTGGTGATGATGGTGGTGGTGATGATGGTGGTGGTGATGGTGATGATGATGATGGTGATGATGGTGGTTGTTGTTGGTGATGGTGATGGTGATGATGATGGTGATGATGGTGGTGGTGGTGATGATGATGGTGGTGGTGGTGATGATGGTGGTGGTGGTGGTGATGATGATGGTGATGATGGTGGTGGTGATGGTGATGGTGATGATGATGATGGTGATGATGGTGTGATGATGGTGATGATGGTGGTGGTGGTGGTGATGGTGGTGGTGGTGGTGATGATGATGGTGGTGGTGATGATGGTGGTGGTGGTGATGATGGTGGTGGTGATGATGGTGGTGGTGGTGGTGATGATGGTGGTGGTGGTGATGGTGGTTGTTGTTGGTGATGGTGATGATGATGATGGTGATGATGGTGGTTGTTGTTGGTGATGGTGATGGTGGTGGTGGTGATGATGGTGGTGGTGGTGGTGATGATGATGGTGATGATGGTGGTGGTGATGGTGATGGTGATGATGATGATGGTGGTGGTGGTGATGGTGGTTGTTGTTGGTGATGATGATGGTGGTGGTGATGATGGTGGTGGTGGTGATGATGGTGGTGGTGATGATGGTGGTGGTGGTGGTGATGATGGTGGTGGTGGTGATGGTGGTTGTTGTTGGTGATGGTGATGATGGTGGTGGTGATGATGGTGGTTGTTGTTGGTGATGGTGATGGTGATGGTGATGGTGATGATGGTGGTGGTGGTGATGATGGTGGTGGTGGTGGTGATGATGGTGGTGGTGATGATGATGGTGATGATGATGGTGGTGGTGATGATGGTTGCTGTTGGTGGTGGTGGTAATAATGGTGATGGTGATGATGGTGGTTGTTGTTGGTGATAGTGATGATGATGGTGATGATGGTGGTGGTGGTGTGATGGTGATGGTGGTGGTGTGATGGTGATGGTGGTGTGATGGTGATGGTGGTGGTGTGATGGTGATGGTGGTGTGATGGTGGTGTGATGGTGATGGTGGTGGTGTGATGGTGATGGTGGTGGTGATAGTGGTTGTTGCTGGTGATGATGATGGTGATGGTGGTGATGATGGTGATGGTGGTGGTGTGATGGTGATGGTGGTGGTGTGATGGTGATGGTGGTGGTGTGATGGTGATGGTGGTGTGATGGTGATGGTGGTGGTGTGATGGTGATGGTGGTGGTGTGATGGTGATGGTGGTGGTGTGATGGTGATGGTGGTGGTGTGATGGTGATGGTGGTGTGATGGTGATGGTGGTGGTGTGATGGTGATGGTGGTGGTGGTTGATGGTGATGGTAACAATGATGGTGTGGTGATAATACCTTGCCTCTCAGGACCTCCTCTGTGACCTTGTTCCATCAACAACCCCTTCATTTTTTTCTGATAATTTCTGCTGCTCACCTGAAAACACTCTCAGGGGTCTCTCATCTTATTTAGAAATGTCCTGATTTTTCTGAAGGTGAGGTTTCTGAGCTTGGGGAGTATATTCACTTACTCTGAAGACATGAGCTTTTGCTCTGGATCACTCACATATCCCTTTCTCTTTTTGGCAAATACGTACTGAGCAGAGATGTTGTGTGAGACAGAGTATCAGACACTGGGATTCAAGACATAGATCTGACCCTGGAGGAGCTTGAGTCTTCAGATGGTGGTGATGGTGGCTGTGATGGTGATGATGGTGGTGTGGATGGTGAAGATGATGGTGGTGGTGGTGATGATGATGATGATATGCTCTTCATACGATTTGGAGAGTGTGGTGGAAATTCTGAAACTGCTGGAATAGATTTCAGAAACAGCAGTGATCGGAGCTTCCTTGTCCTAGACCATAGGAAACCACTATGGGCTTTTCCCTTCTCTACAGTAAATGGCAGCTTAAAGTTAGATATGATGCAAATATTGACACTGCAGTGACCTGCAAACACCATTCCTGCTTCTCTGAGTAAGTTTGTTTACATCTGACAAAATCACCCAAGTGCTGTCATCTAGCACAGTTAAAATGAAGACAAGAGCCTCTTTTTGCCCATCTTCCAGGAGCCGGATGGCCTCCCAACCTGACCCATTCACCTTTTCCCCAAGAGTGTGTTTGCACGTGGGCAGGCAGGTGCCCACGGCCAGATTCAAACACTGAAGTAATTTGCACAAAGTGCGCTCTCCTGCGTCTCAGCCCTGACACATCACCCTCTTCTTTTGTTTGTTTGTTTGTTTACCCTCTTCTTTCACAGGATTCCTCTGCACCCACCAAGGTTATAAACACGGTTTGGGAAAAGGCAGTCATTTTCCATTTCTAGAGGAGGCCCACAAGGGTTTATATCGTGAGCCTGAGAACTAGGAACGAGGAAAGGATAAGAAGAGAGATGGAAGGGGCAATTCCAGAGCATGTGGGGGACAGGCAAAGAGAAAGGGAGTGATTTTTTTTTGTGGCTTTGGAGGCTGTTCTGGAACTCGCTCTGTAGACCAGGCTGGTCTCGAACTCACAGAAATTCACCTGCCTCTGCCTGGGTGCTGGGATTAAAGGCATGCGCCACCACCACCCAGCAGGAAGTGACTTCTGCTATAAAAACCATCAGAAAGAGCCAGGCAGGGTGGTGCCCACCTGACATGCTAACACTCAAAGGGTTGAGGTGAAGAGGACGGTGGATTCCAGGCCAGCTTTGCCTTGCTGGGGAGACTTTGTCTACAGAAAAAGAAGGGGGGAGGAGGGAAGAAAAGAGAGAGAAAGAAAACCAAAAACAAACAGCAATGACAACAAAAGCAAAATAAAACGAACAAGCTAGGCCCAGTGAGACGGCTCATGGGCGAAGTGCTCGCCACACAAGCCTTGAGTCTGAGCCGAAGAACCCACAAAATGGAAAGAGAGAACTGACCCCCTAAAGTTGTCCTCTGACCTCTGCAAACACCACACCCCCATCCATAAATAAACAAAAATTTAATGAGAAACTAGAACTTCTTTTTTAAAAAGGTATTTGTTTATTTTACACCCGGACAGCAATTCCCCCCCACTCTCCCCTCCTAGTGCCTCCCCCTGGCTCCCCCTGCTCGCCCCCAATCCAGTCCTTGCTTTGGATAACCTTTCTGTACGCAGTGAACATATGTTGCTCTCATTAGTTGATAATAAAAGCTGCTTTGGCCCATAGCAAGGCAGAATATAGCCAGGTGGGAAAGTCAAACTGAATACAGGGAGAAAGAGGGGTGGAATCGAGAGAGACACAAGCCAGCTGCCCAAGAAACAAGATGCCAGCAGACTGATGAAAGCCATGGCCACGTGGCAACGCATAGATCTACAGAAATGAGTTAATTTAATTGTAAGAGCTAGTTAGTAATAAGCCTGAGCCATAGGCCAAGCAGTTTGTAATTAATATTAAGCCTCTGAATGATTATTTAGAAGTGGCTGCGGGACGGGGACAGAGAAACCTCTGTTTACAACTCCTCCTCAGTTTCTATTCAGAAAAGGGCAGGTCTCCCAAGGATATCAACAAAACATGGCGTATCAAGTTGCAGTAATACTAGGCACCTCACCTTGTATTAAGGCTGGGCAAGGCGACCCAGTATGAGGAATAGGGTTCCAAAAGCCAGCAAAGAGTCAAAGACAATCCCTGCTCCCGCTGTTAGGAGTCCCACAAAAAAGCTATGTAACTGTCACCTATATGCAGAGGCCCTAGGTCAGTCCCATGCAGGTTTCCCTGGTTGTTGGCTCAGTCTCTTGTGAGCCCAGGTTAGTTGATGATGTGAGTTTTCTTGTGACATCCTTGGCCCCTTGGGCTCATACAATCCTTCCTCCCTCTCTTCAGCAGGATTCTCCCAGCTCAGCCTAGCGTTTGGCTGTGGGTCTCTGCATCTGTTTCCATCAGCTGTTGGGTGAACCCTCTCTGGTGACAACTGGGCTAGGCACAAATCAATGAGTGTAACAGAGTATTGTTAGGCATCATTGACATTCTGTTTTTCTCCAGCCGTGTCTGGTTCTATCCTAGGTCTCTGGGCCATCCAGCCTCTGGGTCCTGGTCTTCCAGGCAGAAACCAGAACTTCTATTCATTGTATATTTTATAGTCCATACTTTCAAGTTTGTAATGTTATTAGAACTTTACTTGATTGACATGATGACTGCATACACTTAGTTATTTATGTGCAGTATGTTATTTTGATGTATGTACACATTTTACAATGCTCAAATCAGCCCTGACATTTATCAAAATATGAACGAACCTGAGGACCTTATATTAAATAAAATAACGTCTTGGTGTGATGCCTCGTGGTGTAATCCCAACTCTCAGGAGGCAGAGGCGAGAGGACCTTGAGGTCAGGACTGTCTCAAAAACAAAAACACAAAGGCATTTCTGACCTGCCCCTGTTGCTATGTAGTGGAGAGGCAGGTTCCCTCCTGAACATTCTGGAAGCTTCTTAGATTTGATTAGATCAGTGGCTACCAGAGTCCTGGCCTCTGGCCTGAGGTGCCCCACGGGCTTCATGGAGGTGCTGAGAGAACCGCCATGACCAGCTGCCTGGTGGTGGAGACCCCGGGGAAGGACGGCAACCCCCATCCGGGGACAAGGATAGTGTACAAACGCTCAGATTGGAATTTGGGTGAAACTGTCAAGCAGTCTTGCCGCCCAGACTCCTGTAGTCAGTGCTGCCATGTCCTCAGCTGACGCAGGCTCTCACTCCACACAAAAGATGTTGCTCAACTCCGTCATTCACTGTCTTCCAGTCAAGATGGCGCTAAGTCTATCTGAAACGCTCAGTTCAGCAAATGTGGTTTTGAAAGGGCAGGAGACCTTCCAAAGATGACTCACACAGAGCCTTCCCTTTTAGAAAACATAATTTGAATGAAATAATGTTTTGCTTTTAGGGCTTTTTGTTTGTTTGAGACAGGGTTTCTTTGTGTCTCTGCCCTGACTGTCCTGGAACTCACTTTGTAGACCAGGCTGACCCCAAACTCACAGAGATCCGCCTGCCCCTGCCCACTGAGTGCTGGGATTAAAGGTGTGTGCCACCACACTCAGTGAGTAAAATAAGTTTTAATGGAAAAACTAATAAAAGAAGAAGCAATTGAAGTGCAGAATGTTGAGTACCATCAGGGCCTGTGGTGCCCACAGTAGATGGTCTCATCGGGACTGTTAAGACCATTTTTGGGGGGGGGGTTTACGAGACAGGGTTTCTCTGTATTGTTTTGGAGGCTTTTAGTCCAGCCTGGCCTCGAACTCACAGAGATCTGCCTGCCTCTGCCTCCCGAGTGCTGGGATTAAAGGCGTGTGCCACCACCGCCTGGCTCCTGTTAAGGCCATTTTAACCTATGACCATTTGTGACCTTGGCAGAGAAGGCAGCAATGTCTTCATTTTAGGGACATACAGTAAGGGGCAACTAATGGAGGCCCCCTTCCCACACACTGGGACAGTGGGGGCTTCCTCCTGAACCCTGGATTAGGAACAAAGCACACCCAAACACCTGTTTTCACAGAGAAAGCCTTTGTTAGCAGAGAAGGTAAGTTAACGTGGCTGCTTTCTGACTCAGACAGAAAACAGCAGCAGGGGAGGTCTGTGTTCAAATGTCCTAGGATGTCATGGTAAAGGAAAGGATGAAGGAGAAGGGGAACAAGGGAAAGGGGGCATGGGTGTTTGTCCTGGAGGGACAAAGGACTGCCTTTGGATAGAGCAAAAGGCAAAAGACACACAGTCAGATAGGCAGTTTATGAAGGTAAAGGGGGAACCCCATGTTAGGGAGAGGTGTTTCTTTTTAGTTGGGCATGTTAACTAGGTGAACCAAATGGGGTTTTGATGGCTGGGCTTTAGTACTTCGATAACTGGACCTTGGTAGTCAGCCTTAAGAGAAGGAAGTGAACAAATAATGGAATAGACCTTGGGGGCTGGCTTTAGGTTGTAATCTAACGGTTTTCAGGAAGGCAGAGGGAATAGGAAGAGAAGGACAAGATGCCAGAGCCACTTGCTTGACGGAGCCAGTGTCCCAGGGGGCCGGTGTCCCTTCAGCAACTACAAGGAAGAACTGAAAATGAGACCTAGATCCATCGCCTCTACTGAGCTCACCACTGGCTATGGAAGCGTCTAGAGGCAAGACAAGCTTGTATGTTCAAGAAACATCCCAGGATGCTTCCTGCTTGTCCAGTTGTTACAATGTATGAGTTTTCTCACTATTGTAACAAAATACCCAGCAAGAAGCAATTTAAGGGAGGAAGGGCTTTTGGGGACTGTTGTTCAAGGGAATAAGGCTTATCAAAACAATTAATAGGCCTAATAAAGATATCTTTTTTCTTATTTTTTTTCAAGACAGGGTTTCTCTAAGATACAAGTTTCTTGGGCAATGTGAGGAAAGGAATAAAGTCTTACCCAAGGGCATGCAAATTCAAACCTTCAGCCTGGGCCATTGCTACTTTAATGCTAAATATCTATATTTTAAATGAATGCCAAGTCTATGACAGCAGCCTTTTCAACATATACTGGCTTGCTGGAATGTTCTCATCCCTGGTGAGAGGCTCTAGGACAAGGGGGCTCCACTGCCTTATCTTGTCCCCATAATTTCCCTTTCTTTCTATACTGCCCATGTACAGTCTCAGTTTACTCCAGTGAGTCTATGGATTGGCCCTTTCTTCTTCCAGGGATATGAAAGTAGTCAGCCTGAACCATGTGAGTGGTGCTGGATGCTGGAGTTTGTATCCAGTGTGTGCAATTATCCTCCATCCTCAAAACACAGACCAAAGCTACCTGCAAAGTGCAGTCTCTTGGGACTGAATAGATGACTCTGTGGCTAAGAGCACTTGTTGCTCTCACAGAGGACCCAGACTTCGTTCCTAGAACTCACATGGAGGCTTGCTACTATCTGTAACTAGTTCCAGGAGTCTTCTTCTGACCTCTGTGGGTGTGCACGCTACATACATAAAATAATTTTTTAAAAAAGGAGTCTCGCCTGGCAGTGGTGGTACACAGGGTGGGGGTGGGGAGACAGGGACTGGGATACAGTTTCTACTTGTCTCTCTGACACAGCCTATAGTCCATTTGCCTGGGATCCCAAGTGCAAACGTCTCTCCTGGCCCTCTTCCTGAATCTCCCCAAGCCTCAGGAAAAGTTAGTTACTTCCCAGCCCATTGGGAAGGAGACCCAGACTCAGGTTCGTGTTTTCCAGGTTGCTTATCTCTGACGGGCCCTGGCTCTGTGTCTGGCTACGTGGGAGGCACCGTTCATGTGCGGTGTCAGTATGGAAAATCATACAAGGACCATGTTAAATACTGGTGTCGAGGAAAGCACGACACAGATTGTAAAACTATTGTGGAAATCAAAAGAAATGGGGAAGAAAAGAAGAATGGCCGTGTGTCCATCAGAGACCACGCTGAGAACTTCTCCATGACAGTGACCATGGAGAACCTCAGTGAAGATGACGCTGGATCTTACTGGTGCAAGATCCAGACCTTCTTTATCTGGGATTCGTGGTCACGTGACCCAGCAGTCCTCGTAAAGGTACATGTTTTCCCAGGTAAGCACAGAGCTTTTAGGAAGTGTCCATGCTTGGGGCATGTGGGTGGGGATTCTCTTGTCATGTGCCTCTGAGTACTGTCCTCATCTAGGCCATAAGACAGGAGTTGATGTATAGGTCGCACAAATCACCCGAAACTTGATGTCTCTAGGAGGAGTGAGAGACGATCTAATTCTTCCTTAGTGATGAGTGAAAGTGATCTGTAATGAAGGGTGTCTGAGAGTCCTCCATGGTGTCTGGGAGGATTATTGGGCCATAAGCTGAGATTTGTGTTCTTTCACACTGTCTGTCAAGGACTTGTCACCAAGCAGGGGGTGCCCTGGAAGTTCTCTCAGATGGCAATGGGAACAAAGTCTGCGATGACATATTGGCCAGTCTTTGGCAGGAAGGCTTCTTCAGCCCCTGAGAGCCCCATCCAGGATGTGGCTGAGGTTTGGCTTAAAATATTTCTTGAAAGCCTGTGTGAAATTATGTTTCTGTGTGACCTCAGATCCACACAGATCTCATTTAGTGCAGGCTTGGGACCAAGCAGCGACCTAATGTGCATCTTTATCTCCAACAGCCACAACTCTCATGGAGACCACACTTCCAGCTACAACCCCCTTCCTCCCACTAGTGAATACTGGACACCTGAGGATTAGCACCAGTGAGGTGTTTCTCCTCCAGCTATGGTAAGGATCCAAGTCCTGGACAGAGTCACGAGCTGTAGGATTCTGGGGGTCAGGCGTTTCTGGAGTTTCTTGTCCTGCCAGGTCCCGCCGCTTCAGCCTCAAATGAACACACAGAGACTTACATTAATTATAAAACTGTTGGCTGATATCTAGGGCTTCTTATTGGCTAGCTCTGTCTTAATTATTAACCCATAACTATTAATCTATGTATTTCTATACAACCTTATCTTATCAGAGAACACCTGGCACGTCCTTTCCTTCCAGTCTCTATATGACGTCTCCTCTCTCTCTCTCTCCCTACCTTTCCCAGAATTCTCCTCATCTCCTAGTCCTGCCTATCTTCCTGCCTCTATTGGCCAATCAGTGTTTTATTCGTCAACCAATAAGAGAAGCATATATACAGAAGGCCGTCCCCCATCAGTCGGCCGTGTCACTCACTCACGATGAGGAAACCTTACTATTGAGTGATATTTCCTCTCGTTCTGATCTCGGCTTCCACATTCTCCAAGCCTGCGTGTAGATGCCAAGTATGGCAGAGGGGTTGGAGGGACACAGGCTTGGGGCAGAGTCTGTGCTTGGTAGATTCGCAGACCCTTTCCATTCCCACCTCTCTTTTCTATTCTTCCCCGCCGGACTCTAGACTTAGAGTTCTAGTTCTGTGCCTTTTAAAAATGATATTGTTGAAGGCCAGGGAGGTGACTCAGTGGGTAAAGGTGTCTGCCAGCAGGTCTAACAGATTTCGTTTGGTCTCTGAGCCCCGCCATAAACAAATAAAGGTAAAGGTCTTTGTTGGCTGTGGTCCTTGCTCCCAGGAGCTCCCAGGGCAGCCTCAGCTCCAGGCTGAAGTTTACATTCGTTCTTCCTTCTCTCCCAGAGGCACTCAGAAAGGGCCATGCTCCCTGTGCTATGTGAGATCTGACCCCCCCCCCCCAATAAAGCCAGTTAATAACTGGGCGACAGTAGGTAGCTCTGGGCCATGCTCCTAGAAAACTGCGTCTGCCTAGAACCCTTCCCTCTCTTCACCAATCACCTCCCCTTAACAAGAGATGGGGGCGGGGCAGGGGGCAGGACCACGGGAGCAGACTTCCTTGAGTCATTTCCTAGTTTGAGTCTGGATCATCCAGGCTTTCGAGGCAGCTGTTAGGAAATGCGGGGCCAGACAGGCGGGTCCTGGAACCACCCTCTGAACTCATTCTCCATCCCCACCTGCCCCGCAGGCCCCTGCTCAGCAGCGTCCACTTCCAGGTCCTGGTCTTCCTGAAGCTGCCCCTGTTTCTGAGCATGCTCTGTGCTGTCTTCTGGGTGAACAGGCTTCAGAAGACTCCTGGGGGAATTTAACGCGAACTGCCCAAGAGCTGTGACATGGAGTAGCCCAGGAATGCCCTGGGAGGGGCTCAGCCCTGCAGACCGGGTGAGGCACACTGGACTCCAGACTGACTCTGCACGGACGCACAGTGCCTGGATTCTGGACTTGACTATTCCATGTCTCAAGGGAGGGTCCGAGACTCTGAGATACCAGACTCCCATGAAGTCCTCAGCATGAAAGAGGGAACAAAGCAGGGAATGATGGCGGCACACCTTTAATCCCAGCACTGGAGAGGCAGAGGAAGGTGGATCTCTGTGAGTCCTAGGCCAGCCTGGTCTACATAGTGAGTTCCAGACAGCCAGGGCTACATGATGAGACTGTGTGGTATCCCCCACCCAAAAAAGAGGGACAAGACTCCCCTGGCCGTGTGTTAGGGTCCCCCTTTCCTGTTTCCAGATTTCTCAGTTTGTGCTCTCACCCACTCCAAGGGTAAGAATCCTCTAGAAGGTTCTTGAACACAAGCCCCTTGATCTCTGTGACATAAAAGCATCTCAGGTCATTGTCTCCGATGGCAGCAATCACCTCCTCCCTACAGAGAAGAGGTTCCCTCAGGAACAGGTCCTTCATAGACTTGGATCACAGGCCATGTCCCCTCTTCTAGAACAATCCCAGAAGATTTGGCTTCTGGCTGAGCATCTTCACTACCCACTATCCCAAACACGCAGCATTCTTTTGCCCCATCTGATCATTTTAGCTCTCCATGATCTTGAAGCCTCCTTATGTCCCTATGACCAGAGAGTGTGTATCAGAGTTCAACCCATGCTTGCCTGGGCTGACAATAGTCAATCAGTCAGCTTGACGGATCAGCAGTAGAGAAAGAGCCCTGATTTCACTCTGTATTTCCTAACCCGAGGTCACCTGCTGTGCATAGTGTTAATGGAGGGTCCATTTTTGTTCACTTTGGAAGCTGGCTGAGTCCACCTTGGGGACAAAGACAGATAGCTGTTCAAAGGCAGGTGCAGGGCCAGTGGTGAGGAGATCTCACATCATCTGGGCATCCATTGGACATCCCCAGAAAAAGCCCTGTTTGCTGAATGCTTGCCAAGTTTCTGCCTTGATGCTCTTTGCAAGGAGGCCTCTCAGGGTTAGATACAAGCATCACCATCTCCATTCACTCCAGTCAGTCAGGTCAGACCTCTCTCTGCACCCTCAGGCTCAGGCCTGCCTTGAACTAGTGATGCCAGTTTCCACAGAGAGGACGTATTTATAAGAGCATCATAAGTGAGGATGGAGTCCTGTAGATATCTGGTCTGTGGGCCTGAAATTGTGGCCACATCTCTTTGGGTGTAGCTTCGGGTGGACAGAAGTAGAAAGAGAGGATCTTGAAGTGTGGCTTTCCTTTGAGCACTGTTTCTGTTGGGCCAGTTGATCTGTTAGGGAGAGCAGGGAAACACTCTGGTAGTTCTTGGTGTTTTTCTGTGTAATTGTTCCCCAATAAACACCCATTTATCATTTATCCTGGGTCTAGTGATATAATTACATCCCCGCCTTCAAAGACCCAGGGAGTAACTTTCACAAGAATAATTCTCCATGGAAGCTCTATCCACGGACATAGTTTCTTAGGGTGAGGCATGTCTGTCAGTCCAGCATAGGGAAGCTTTTTTTCTAGCAGTTCAGATGGAGTGTGTGGATTCAGCATCAACTCTGCCTACATTTCTCTTCTGAACACTGAACATACTTGAGCATACTAAGACTCTGAATATAATATAGGAGAGCTTACCTCACTGATGATGTGTCATCTTCAAGGACAAGTCAGAGAGTGGAGGGTCTAAGTTTGTGAGATGGGAGTCACTGACAGGTGTGGGAGAGAGAGGGGCAGGCTTGGATGCTGCAGAAGCTAACTTTTCTGTGTGTGACTGCGTCACCAGACAGGGTGTTGACTAGGAGTTAGAGGTGTGACCTACCAGAGTGTCTCTCCAACTTTGGTTTTGTCACCTTGAGAATATTTTGGAAATGTAAGCATTTCAGTGTCATATTTTGATGTCAGTGTCATCGTCATCCCCCCGCCCCAGTAAGTTACAATGCCTCTGGTATCCATAAAAGCAGATGTGAATTCGTTCCTCTTCATTACTGGGTATTATTTCATCATATAATGGAATAAATTCACAACAGTTTGTTGGGTCCCAGCCCCCACAGGATCTCTGTGAGTCACTGGTCAGCCAACAAGTGCATCCTGTTTTGCAGTCCAAGTGCATCCCGTTTTCTAGTCCTGGCTTACTGTCCCTGCATTACCCACTGACACCAACATCTAACACGAGGAAAACACCATCTCTTCCATCTGGGGTTTTTCCACTGTGCTGTAAGCCTGTATATAAGGCTTTCTCTGCAAGAGAGAGAGGCCTCTTAGCACTTGCAATAAAGACACACACACACACACACACACACACACACACACACATGCATTCTCTTAGCACAAACAACTGGACGTCTTGTCTTCTATTTCCCCGACACCTCGGACTTGCTTGTGGCACGGGAGCCACATTTAACTACTAGTTCACTGGAGTAGTTGGGTCATTTCCATTACAAATAAAACTGCTATCCACAGTCATATATATTTTCTTTTTTAAAAAATTATAACTGAAAACCGGGCGTTGGTGGCACACGTCTTTAATCCCAGGACTTGGGAGGCAAAGGCAGGCGGATCTCTGTGAGTTTGAGGTCAGCCTAGTCTACAGAGTGAGTGTCAGGATAGGCTCCAAAGCTGCAGAGAAACCCTGTTTCGAAAAAAAACCATAAATAAACAAACAAATAAATGGTAGTTTGGCCTATTGCTCAGGATTATTATTAGCAAACTCTCACAACTTAAATTAACCCATAATTCTTATCTATGTTTAACTACATGGCTTGGTACCTTTTCTCAGTAGGGCATTTCCATCTTACTTCCTCTGTGTCTGGCTGGTGACTCTCTCTCTGCCTTTCCTCTTCCCAGAATTCTCCTAGTCTGGTAGTCCCATCTCTACTTGCTGTCTGGCTACTGGCCAATCAGTGTTTCATTAAACAATATGAGTGACAAATCTTTACAGTGAACAAGAGCATTATCCCTAATCATTTCCCCTTTTTTCTTTTCAATATATATGTCTTCTTTTATATGACTATACCTTTTTATTTCTCCAGTGTGCAAGCTTGCACAACTACTAAGATAGTATATGTTTAGCTTTATAACTCGACTATTCCAGCATGCTAATATTATCTTATTTTCCCATCAGTAAGGAATGAAAGACCCAGTTTCTTGGACTATGAACATTATTTCCCTTAAAGAATTTAGATTTTTTTATGCAGAGGGTGCTTTGCCTGCACATATATCTGTGTACTATGTGCATACATGCCCGGTGCACCTGGCGGTCAGAAGAGGGCATCAGATTCCTTGGAACTCAAGTTATAGATGGCTGTGAGTCTCCATGTAGGTCCTGGGAGCCAAATATGGGTCCTCTGCAGGAGCAGCAAGCACTCTTATTTTTTTTTAATTTTCATGTTTCTTCTTTACATACATTACATATTCCAACTGCAGTTTCTCCTACCTCCACTCCTCCAACCCCCCCTCTTCTCTCTCCCCTAAATCCACTCCTCCTCCATTCCCCTTAAAAAAGAGAGAAGGCCTCCCATGGATATCAATTGGACAGCATAAAAATTACGATAAGACTAGCAAAACTCTTTTATTAAGGCTGGATGAGGTGACACAGTAGGAGGAAAAGGGTCCCAAGCACAGGCAAAAGAGTCAGGGACACCCCTCACTCCCAGTTTTCCAAGGAATCTCCATACTGATTTCCAAAGTGGCTGTGCAAGTTTGTACTCCCACCAGCAATGGAGGAGTGTTCCCCTTGCTCTACATCCTTGCCAGCAGGAGCTGTCACTTTTTTTTAAATCTTAGCCATTCTGACAGGTAAGATGGCATCTCAAAGCCAGGCGTTGGTGGCACATGCCTTTAATCCTAGCTCTTGGGAGGCAGAGGCAGGTGGATCTCTGTGAGTTTGAGGCCAGCTTGGTCTATAGAGAAAGTTCCAGGACAGCCTGCAAAACAATACAGAGAAACCCTGTCTAGAAAAGCCAAAAACAAAAGATGGCATCTCAAAGTAGTTTTGATTTGCATTTCCCTGATTGCTAAGGATGTCAAACATTTCTTAAAGTACTTCTCAGCCATTTGAGATCCCTCCGTTGAGAATTCTCTGTTTAGATCTGTACCCTATTTTTAACTGGATTACTTGGTTTGTTGATGTCTTCTTTCCTGATTTCTTTATATGTTTTGGATATTAGATGTGGATTAAGGTACAGATGTGGAGTTGAAAAAATCTTCTCCCATTCTGTAGGTTGCTGTTTTGTCCTATTGACAGTGTCTTTTGCCTTACAGAAGCCTTTCAGTTTCATGAGGTCCCATTCATTGATTGTTGATCCCAGTGCCTACATTATTGGTGTTCTGCCTATAGCAAATGAAGCTAGAACTTCAGTTACTGTATTCAATAGATATGGAGAGAGTGGATTCATGCTCCTGAATTTAATGTAATTGATTTGAGTTTCTTGCCATTTAATTTGAGATTGGCTATAGGTTTGCTGTGAATTGTCTTTATTATGTTTAGGTATGTCCCTGTGACCCTAATCTCTTCAAGACTTTTATTATGAAAAGGTGTTGGATTTTGTCAGTCTTTTTCCGCATCTAATGAGATGATCATGTGGGGTTTTTTCTTTCAGTTTGTTTATATGGTGAATTACACTGACTGATTTTGGTATATTGAACCTTCCCCGCATCTCTGGGATGAAGCCTACATGATTGTGGTGGATAATCTTGTTGATGTGCTCTTGAATTTATAGGAGTTGCCATGGTCATTGTGTCTCTTCATAGCAATAGACATATTTTTGCATATATGTTCATGGGATAAATTGGTCTGTAACTTTCTTTGTGTGGTTTGGGTGTCAGGGTGGCTGTGGCCTCTTATGATGAATTTGACATTGTTCCCTCTGTTTCTGTTTGGTAGAATAATTTTAGAAATATTGGTGTTAGCTCTTCTTTGAGAGTCTAGAAGAATTCTGTACTAAATTTCTCTGGCCCTGGACTGTTTTTCGGTTGGGAGACTTTTAATAACTATTTCTTCTTCCTTAGGGGTTATAGTCTACTTAAATTGTTTATCTAATCTTGATCTAACTTTGGTAAGTGGTATCTATTGAGAAAAGTATCAGTTTATTTTAGATTTTCCAATTTTGTGCAATACAGCTTTTAAAAATATGACCTAATAATCCTTTGGATTTCCTCAGTGACCATTGTTATGTCCCCTTTTCATTTCTGATTTTGTTAATTTGGATTGTCTCTCTGTGTCTTTTAGTTAGTTTGGATAAGGATTTGTCTATCTTGTTGATTTTCTCGAAGAACCAGCTCTTTGTTTCATTGATTCTTTATATTGTTCTCTTTGTTTCTATTTTATTGATTTCAGCCCTCAGTTTGATTATTTCCTGCTGTCCACTCCTCTTGAGTGAGCTTGCTTCTTTTTGTTCTAGAGCTTCCAGGTGTGCTGTGAAGTTGTTAGTATGAAATCTCTCTGATTTCTTTATGTAGACACTTAGTGCTATGAATTTTCTTCTTAGCACTGCTTTCATTGCGTCCCATTAGTCTGAGTATGTTGTGCATTCATTTTTATTGAATTGTAGGAAGTTTTTAATTTCTTTGTTTATTTCTACCGTGACCTGGTTATCATTCAGTAGAGAGTTGTTCAGTTTCCATGAGTTCGTAACCATTCTATTGTTTCTGTTGTTGAGATACAGTTTTAATCCATGATGGTCTGATAGTATGCAGGGGGATATTTCAATTTTCTTTTATCTGTTCAGACTTGCTTCATGACTGAGTATGTGGTCAATTTTGGAGAAAGTTCCTGAGGTGCTGAGAAGAAAGTGCATTGTTTTGTGTTTGGGTGAAATATTCTGTAGATATCTGTTAGGTCCATTTTGTTCATAATGTCTGTTAGCAGCAGTATTTCTCTATTGAGTTTTTTTCTGGATGATCTGTTCATTGGTGAGAGTGGGGTACTGAAGTCTCCCACTATCGATGTGCAAGGATCCATGTGTGATTCAAACTTTAGTAGAGTTTCCGTTACAAATGTAGGTGACCTTGTGTTTGGAACAATGAAAGTTAATAAATGAAAGACCATCTTGATAGATTTTTTTTGATGAGTATGAAGTGTTCTACACCATCTCTTTTAATTAACTTTAGTTTGAAGTCTGTTTTGTTATAATAGAATGGCTACACCAGCATGCTTGTTAGGTCCATTTGCTTGAAAAATTTTTTCTTAACCATTTACTCTGAGGTAATGTGTATCTTTGATGTTTAGGTGTGTTTCTTGTATGCAGCAGAAAGATGGATCTCCTGTTTTCACAAGCATTTTGTTAGTCTGTGTCTTTTTGTTGGGGAATTGAGTCTATTGATATTGAGAGATATCAATGGGCAGTGATCCTTAAAATCCTGTTACTTGGTTGGTGATGGTGGCAGTGCACGTGAGTGTGTGTGTGTGTGTGTGTGTGTGTGTGTGTGTGCGCGCGCGCGCGCGCGCGTGCGTCTTCTTATGGTTTTGCTAGTCTGAGATTATTTATTGCCTGTGTTTTTAATGGGTGTGGTTAACCTCCTTGTGTTGGAGTTTTCCTTCCAGAACTTTTTGTAGGGCTGGATTTGTGGATAGATATTGTCTGAATTAGACTTTATTATGGAATATCTTGTCTTCTCATTCTATAGGAGGCTGGGCTGGAATCTGCAGTCTCTTAGAGTCTACAGGACATCTGTCAGGCCCTTCTGGATTTTAGAATCTCCATTGAGAAGTCAGGTGCAACTCTAATAGGTCTGTCCTTACATGTTACTTGTCCTTTTTTTCCTTGAGTCTTTTAGTATTTTTCTTTGTTCTGAATATTTGGTATTTTGATTATTATGTGTCAAGGGATTTTCTTTCCTGCTCTAATCTATTTAGTGTTTTGTAAGCTTCTCATACCTTTATAGGCATCTTTTTTTTCTTTAGGTTAGGAATTTTTTCCTATGATCTTGCTGAAAATAATTTTGGGTCTATGAGCTGGGAATCTTCTCATCTTCTATTCCTATT